CTGACATCAGTATAGCTCTGGTCTTCGAAAGAAGGTCAAGGTCTTCCAGCAACCACACTACAGCGAGGCTTTCGTCACCAGCATCCTTCTCTCCATCCCAGAAGGTGTCGAGGGTTCAACTTTGGTCATCGGCGGTGATGGCCGTTACTATAACCCAGAAGTCACTCAATTGATTGTCAAAATTGGAGCGGCGTACGGTGTAAAGAAGCTCATCATCGGTCAAGATGGTATTCTCAGTACTCCAGCTGCCAGCCATATCATCCGCATACGCAAGGCAACTGGTGGTATTTTACTGACCGCAAGCCACAATCCCGGTGGTAAGTTGTAGCCTCCTTCTACACTGGGACAGTACTTACATCGGTCTAGGTCCTACTGAAGACTTCGGAATCAAGTACAATCTCGCCAATGGCGCTCCAGCTCCCGAATCCGTTACAAACAAAATCTACGAAACCTCCAAAACCCTCAAACAATACAAGACCGCCGACGTCCCAGATGTCGACCTTGCAAAGATTGGAACAGAGGAGTATGGTCCTATAACTGTGGAAATTATCCACTCCGTCGATGACTACGTTACCTTCATGAAAGAGATCTTCGATTTCGATCTCATCAAGTCTTTCCTTTCATCACATTCGGACTTTAAGGTTCTCTTTGATGCTCTGAATGGTGTCACTGGCTCTTACGGTATTGCGATTTTCGAAAAGGAGCTCGGCTTGAAGAACGCCACACAAAACTGCATTCCAAAACCCGACTTTGGAGGTCTACACCCAGATCCAAATTTGGTCTACGCCAAAACTCTTGTGGATGCTGTCGACAAGAATGGTATCCATTTTGGTGCTGCCAGTGATGGAGACGGTGACCGCAACATGATCTACGGTGCCAACAGCTTCGTCTCGCCTGGTGACAGTTTGGCTATTATCGCACATCACGCCAAACTTATCCCATGGTTCAAGAAGCAAGGAGTTTATGGTCTTGCTCGCAGCATGCCAACTTCAGGTGCTGTCGATCTAGTTGCCAAGAAGCAAGGCTTAGAGTCTTATGAAGTTCCTACTGGATGGAAGTTCTTCTGCGGATTGTTCGATGCCGACAAGATGAACATCTGTGGTGAGGAGAGCTTTGGTACCGGTAGCAACCACGTGCGTGAGAAGGACGGTGTCTGGGCTGTTCTCGCGTGGCTCAACATCATCGCTGGGGTTGGTCAACAGACCGGTTCCACTCCATCGATTGGCAGCATCCAAATGGACTTCTGGAAGACCTATGGCCGTACCTTCTTCACACGTTATGACTACGAGGGTTGCGAGACCGCAGATGCCAACAAGGTCATTGCTCTCATGAAGGAGTACATTACCACCAAGAAGAGCGAATTCGTTGGCTCAGAAGTGTCGGGTCGCAAAGTTGTTGAAGCTGACGACTTTTCTTACACTGACTTGGATGGTAGTGTGAGCAAAAACCAAGGCATCTATGTCAAGTTCAGTGACGGAAGTCGAATTGTCGTTCGTCTTTCTGGTACTGGCAGCAGTGGAGCAACCATCCGTCTCTATATTGAGAAACACGAGAATGATGAGAGCAAATATTCCCTAGATGCTCAAGAGTACTTGAAGGACGATGTTAAGATGGCCGTTAGCTTGTTGAAGCTACAAGAGTTCATTGGTCGTGAGGAACCAAACGTCAAAACTTGAGCAAAGATTCTAAGTGAGAAACACGTTGACGCAAGACTGAGGCGTACAAAAAGCGGCGAATACTGTTGATATGTATCAATGTATAATGATGAAGCAATGATAGATCGATTTCTTTATCTCTTGTCTATAAGATGTGATATATCTATATTATACACTAAGCCTTCGTTTCCTTTGATATGCCATGAGACTTTTCATCCTCAACAACATCGCTCTTCTTTTCAATATCACTCTCACCATCCTCTCTCTTCCCATCTTCCAATGTTTCTCTGCCTTCTTCCGCTGCAAGTTCTGTCAAAGCCTTGTGCGTTGTCGTGCCCTCTGCTTTTTCCAAGTCCCCATCCTTCCCTTTATAGAACACCGTTTCCGCAGTCCTTCCATCAGCACTCATCTTATCCTTTTTACGCATACTGAATCCTCCATGCCAACCAATCCAGCCTTTCTCCCAAGGCCCTCTCAGCAAAGCAAACAAAATCGCGGCTCCAATGAAGCCTACGCTTGCACTTCCGCTTAGTCTCCAACCGCCTTGCGCAAAAACATGGTTACCCGCACTCGTGCCCATCAACTGTCCCAAGAACGTGCTCAACATATACGCCACGTTGACGCGGTTCCTCGCATTTGGCTCAATGCTATATATCGCATTTCGATTCGCGATCTGCGCTGTCTGCATGCCAAAATCATTCAGCACCGCTTGTACCACTGGCCCAGCTACACTAAAGGTGCCTGTATACGTGCCTACACAGATACCAGCCAAAGTGGTCACACATCCGACTAGCACGCTGAAGTGCGGGACATATCTGTCGCTGACGAACCGTGCATAAAATGGGTTCAGCAACATGCCTGCGATGCCTATCAGCCCGAATAGACCCACAATCAAGGGACTGTAGTTGTATGGCTCGCCTGCTAACAGGAAAGTAAGCGTTGTCCAGAAGTTAGTGAATGTCGCACTGCTGAAGAAGGCGACGAGACAGGCTTGTACGAGGACAGGGTTTCGAGTGAGGATTGGGAATATACTCCACAGCATGTAGAAGTAGTTCAGGCCGGCTGGGTTCTTGGATGGGTAGTCGGGCATGAAGAGCCAGAGGAGGCCGAATATTAGGTATTGGAGACCACAGGAGAGCCAGTATATGGTGCGCCATGGGGTGTAGTTGGTGAGTGTTCCAGAGAGGACGCGCGCAATCAGGATTCCGAGGGCAAAACCGGAGACTACTATAGCGAGAGCTGTGGCGCGACGGTTCGGGGGCGCAAGATCACCGACGAGTGGGAGCATGAGTTGGGGAGTGACGGTGGAGATGGCTACGACGAAGGATACGCCTTGGAAAACGCGGAGGGATTTTGTGACGCAGAGAATGATCCTGGTTTGAAGTTAGTGGGAGTCTATATCAATCGGTTTGGGTATTTACCATAAGCTTGATGTCAAGAAAACTAAAGATAGAACAAATGGTCGTCTTCTCAAGATATCTCCCAGTGGACAGAGTAGGAATAGCCCCAAAGCGTACCCAGCTTGCATGAGCGTTGGTATCAAAGAAGCCTCCTCAAATGTAGTGTGGAATTCTGCCGCCAAAACATTCAGGATGGGATGATTATAGTACAGATTGGCGACGGTGAATGCTCCAGCAAAGGCGAAGAGTACGTTCAGTGCCATGCTGAACTTTGGTGGATTCTCCGGATCCCATCGACAATTTGGAGGAGTCCATATTATGATCTTCCAAGCTTTTTGCAATAATACAGGAACTTTTCTCTTGTGAGTCGGTTCCGTCGAATGATTCTGTGGTGTTTGTGAACTCATTGTAGCGATTGAGTTCGGAGATCACCCAGACTAGTAAAGTCGATGTTGTTTCCCAACAAGAACGAAGTCCCAGCGTACTGACATTGCTGAAAAGTGAGATCTATCGGATTTAAAGAGAAATGTTTCTGAAATCCACAAGTCGGACTTGAGTCGTTGACGATACCGGCTTGATGATTGACGGCAGGATCTTGGCGTGTTATTCCCGAAGAGGTTGGACTCGATTTGCCAGGCAGACTAAAATTATGCAGGTGGAATAGGTTAGATGTAGGTAGCTGTTAGTTATGCCCGTGAGTAGACTAAGCAAGCAGAAGATGTAAAGAAGTCATGCAATTGTTGGTTTGATCGGTTTCTAGGTACTGTGTTGCAAATCGCTATTCCCATTTTCAGCCTTATGCTAGCCAGGTTCAGCCTTGTCAAACCCAGACCGACCTTTGTTTCGTAAATCCCATCAATACAACGCGAACCTGGAAAACCTAAATCCGGGAGAATCTCTTGACATTCCCTTCGAGTATAGCTTCGTCAAAGTCTAAAATTCATCTAGACCATCTCGATACCTCACCTCGAAGGTAAACACGAGTCCAGAGGGCAGACAGTAACGGCTTACACTTTTCTCTTTCTAATTCGTATCTCCCTCAAGCAAATGCGCTTTGTAATAGCATATGTGACTCCCAGATGATTGGGGTTCCTAGGCCGGGAACTCGGGTTTTTCGGCAGTTCCCACATTTCATGGTCGGACTGATGTGTTACTCGTTCAGGAGGCCACGATTACGCCCTGGGTCACTGCTTTAATGCGTTATAACGCCTAGCCATAAAACTTATCTCAACTTCTGAACTTGGAATTGACCCTGCTCTTAACTTGACGCACAATGCTATTTATATCTCAGGAATGATGCCAGCACTCTACGAAGGTGAAAATATCCGTGTCTGCTCCATCAATGGAATTTCAAGCATTGACATACAATCACAAAAATTCAACTCTATTTCCAAACATGTTTGATATGGTACTTCTAACTTACGCACCAGATAGGAATGCAAGCACTTCATCCTGGAGCATCGTTAGCAGACAATGTAGTTTCCGGACATATCCACAAGCCAAAAAAGGATGGACAAAAGATAGAATGCTCTGCCAGTTTAGCCGAGTTGAAAGAGTGGTGGCTATCACCATTATTTTAATCCAGAGATTACAATTCTAACCAAAAAATTCCCGTTTTGAGACGCTTTTGAAATCGAGTGCTGTAAATCTCCCTTATAGCATAGAACCGCTGATTTGCCATCGAATGCGCTGGAAATTGAAGCACTCTCTCCTTATAGAGTGCGATGGGAGACATAGTGATTGATGGGAGCGCGCCATCTACCATACTTTTTCCAATGTATTAGAGCGTCGGCAGATATGATACGTACCTGAAAAGGTACAGTACTGCAACGTTCAGAACGCAGCTTGGGCACTTGGAGGGGCAAAAAAAGGCCACACAGGCTCCAATACCACCCTGAACTTTGGGACATATCAGAACAGCAAAAAAGAATGAAATTGATTTTAGGTCGTGCCCGGATTCGGACCGGGGTTACCGGAATATGCCTTTGAAATCAAAATCCGGTGTGATAACCACTACACTCTGTTAAGAGTTAGCAAGCGCAAAGTTTAGGATGTTTGGGGAAAAACTTGCACACAACCACACGGACGTAACGTCCAAACTTAGCTCCCAAAGGAGTTAGTTGTTTTGTCATTAATGACAAATCTGGTGAAAGATTTGGGTTACATTTGGATGACTTTTGATGAATTTGCAGCATTAAATTGCACCAAAATGCAATATATTCCAGCTGCATATCTTCGCCTCCACGCAACCCGTTACTTCGATAAACCTTCTTTGTCTATTTGTTTTAAAGCACTTGATGAAAGAACCTAGCTACTGGGAGCTAACGAGGCTGATGGATGGGAGTGCGTCAATTATTTTGCCATGCCGTTGGACATGGAGAGCCAATCTATTCAGTGATTTGATGAGAAGCTACGCAAACTGCCTAATTATGGTAGAAATAGCCCCCGGATGATAGAGCGAAGTATCTGTCAAACATCGCAGTCGGTGGTAGCAAATAAGTGACTTTGTCCATCGGCATTAAAAATTTATGGTGGTCTTATTTCAACAAGCGCAAATCTTGATTCTATCTAATCAGCAAATTCTACTTGCCCAAGTCTAGCTTCTTTTCCGTATCTGCGGCCAGTTTCGCCGCTTCCTTCTTGAGACGTTTCTTCTCCTTCTCCCGCTCCTTAGATGCCTTCTTTGCTGCAGCTTTGGCAGCCTCCTCCGCCTTGGCCTTCTTTAGTTCTTCTCCACCATATGCCAGTTTCCATTCCTCTAGCTTCTCTACCGGGATTACTTTGAATAGAGGTGCAGGTGTTCCGAGTGTATGGCCTGGTTTGAGTTCGTTTGATTCCCAGGTATCTGGAATATGTGCTTTCGGTTCGAGACCAAGCTGTTGAAAGATGGCCTCGGCAGTGCTAGGCATGTATGGGTAGAGAACGCCGGCAAGGAGTTTTATTAGATTGAGTGCCTGGCCGATAACAGCAGCGCATCGATCAGGCTCTTCGGAGAATAGACGATTGTCCAGTTTGTTGTCTTGTAGAAGCTTATTGCCACATGATGAGATGTGCAGAATGTCTGCAATAGCTAGTCGAAGTTTGATTGCTTCCATGTGCTTGATGTAAGTGGTTAGATGGGCGTTGACCTCTTTCTTAGACTCATCCAAGCTGGCATCTGTAAATTTGGTGTAGTCAGGAACAGTACCATCCATTTTGGCGTGACAGAATTTGGTCACTCGCAGAACCAAGTTGCCGATGTTTTTGAGCAACTCATTGTTGTTGGTGCTGATAAACTCTTCCCATTTGAATTCGGTGTCACCGCTTTCTGGCCTTCTTGAGAGAAGATAGAATCGCCAGATATCGGGGTCGATACCAGTGTCTTTTGCGTTCGTGCCAAAGACGCCAACGCCTTTGGACTTGCTGAACTTGCCACCTTCGTAGTTGAGATAATCCGTAGCAGACAGCTTGTGGACCTTGACCCAGTTATCACCAGTGCCAAGCTGGGAACCAGGGAAGATGATGGTATGGAATGGTACGTTGTCCTTTCCCATGAACTGGTATAGAGAAACATTATCAGGGTCCTTCCACCACTTTTCCCAGTTCTTGCCGCCAAGGTCTCCCGCATCAGTATAGTTGTTGGTGATAGAGACGTAACCAATGCAAGCATCGAACCATACGTAGAACACCTTGTTCTTGTACTCTTCTTCGTCAAGTCCTTTAATACCGGTCGGTATTGGTACACCCCACTTGAGATCTCGAGTGATAGCGCGAGGCTTTAAGCCCTTGTCAATCCATGATTGTGTAATGGCAATGCAGTTTGCGCTCCATTCACCCTCCTTGCTCGCCTTGGAGTACCAATCGGCAATGTTGTCCTTGAGTGAATCGAGTTTAAGGTATAGATGCTTGGTACTTCGTCTCACTGGCGTAGTTCCGTCTACTTTGCAGTGTGGATTTATCAGCCAACCAGTAGCTTTCTCAGCAGGATCTTGGTCTTGGTCGTCGTCTCCAGCTCGGCGTTCGGGCTCAAATGGATCAAGAAGATTTCCACACTTGTCGCATTGATCTCCACGGGCACCAAGATCATGACATATACTGCACTCTCCTTCCACAAATCGATCGGCCAGGAAAGTGTTATGCGCTTCGACTGGGCAGAAAGGTTGTATGGTCTCGCGTTCTTCGATGAAGCCGTTGTCCCATAGTGAACGGAATATGCTTTGGACGATTTGGGTTTGATGGGGAGTTGGAGTTTGACCGAATATGTCGAAATCTAATCGAAACCAGTCGTAGATCTCTTTGTGAATTGCGTGGTATTTTGCGCATAGGTCCGTTGGGGTCAACCCCTCCTCGAGAGCTTTCGTTTCGGTCGCTGTGCCATATTGATCCTAGATTTCGTTAGAGGACGTACCACGCAAAAGAGAATAGACTATACTCACTGATCCGCAGACAAAGAGGGTAGGAATGCCTCTAGCCTTACAAAATCGAGAGAAGACGTCGGCAGAGAGCACGCTCCCGATCAGATTGCCTAGATGTGGGACGTTGTTGACGTAGGGAAGAGCGCTGGTGATGAGTATGTTGCGCTGACCTGGGATAGGCAGCAATGGAGCCATGACCTATTCTTCTTTCTTGTTTGGGGAAAATCAGCTATCGGATGCCTCTCAAACTTGCTCATGTATCAAAGTTGGGTGTGAGTCCACGGGGGCAGTGGAGTCAGAGCATCGAAATTCCGAGGCCCTGGGAACGCGGGGTGTGGCGCAGGTGGTCCCACAAGCCACATATCTCCTTTTCCTGCTTGACAACATTACGACGACTCCTTATCCAATGCTACACTACTCCATCTCCCGTGTTTCCAGCCTCGTCGTCCTGAAATGTACGTGTCCTGAAAAACTGGGCAGAGAGTATTGTAATGGCCCACTTCTCATAGCTATGGTTCTGATCATGTCGACATGATACATCGAAAGCCCCTGAACGATGAGCTGCCATACTGAGAGAGAGAGAGCTTGATAAGTAAGAGAGTATGGGTTCAGTCAATGAGGCGACCAAGGCCTCCGTCAATGTGATCAAATTCGTCAACTCACAGTATCGAATGACGATGAGTGATCTATTCTGGTAGGTAGCTTAACTCGTACTCGATCTTGACTCATGTTGCTTCGTATTGAGAGCATGGGTGCCCTTCAGTCAAGGCAGCACGATATTTCCTAAGGCGAAGAGGTGCTGTCAGCTATACCAGGATAAAGGCACTTCTGCGCTGATTGATCTCTTCGAACAGCTCTCTGAAGTCTTCCGTCAACAATACAAACATAGTGTCCAAATGGCAGTAGTAGGACAATCAAGCTTTATCCCTTTGACTACAACCTTCACTCCTCCTTCAACATGTACTGAGACGCTTACACTGGTTCTCTTTGCATCCTCCAAATCAGGGACTGTCACATTACCATCAACGAGCATTTCTACTAGCATCTCTGGATTCTTATCAGATTGCTATCCATCAGACTTGCCGATAATTGAATACTACTCTCCTGGAATCTGTCCAAAAGGCTATACTCGATTCTCGGAAACGACAAGGACAACTTCACTAGATAATCGTGAGCTGGCGGAAACCGCAGCATTGTGCTGCCCGAATGGATACACAGGCCAGTCGCAAGCTACCGGCTTTCCAACAGCCCACGAGCTTTGCTCTTCTACTGTCAACAACATCGAAAACGCCACAGTGATAGAAATGTTTGACGTGAACAATGATCTTACCAGCAATATTCCCGATAGCATTCATTTCACTCCTTACCCGTCCTCTATATCTCAAGGTACGGTGACTGCAAGCGGGATCCAGGTTCGATGGAAGAGCGACGATTTCAACACTACGAGTACCACTAGTAGCAGTGTCAGCACAGCTCCTATAGCTACTACTAGTAGTAGTGGCTCTACCAGCCCAACACTTGTCGGTATGTCTCTTGTTTGCACTTTTTGACCCACAATTCTACCTATATTTTCCGCAATTGCGTTTGAGAAAGACTGAGGGACTGATTGATGTAGATGGCTCAAGGCCCTGTTTGATTACAGCTGCTACAGCTTTTCTAACGACTTTTCTGGTTTCTATTTTATGAAAGGAGCTCATTCATTTATTTCATCGTAGATGAGTTATTTACGTTACGAAACAATCTCGAGTCCTCGTCAATATGTACAAGAGATTAGGCTCAGATATCTATCCTATTTGTCCAAGTCGATCATTACTTCCATCAAGCCCGCCCATAGAATCCCAGCTTTACCCGTCTCTACAAAACGAACACTGATGTTCAAACCAAAACCCTTCCCCGAAAGATTTCAAAACTCCCAGCACTCCTAACAACACTTCTTCCCTGCGTAGCCTGCGCAGTATCACCACCTTCTTCCATCCTCTCCCCCCTGACAACCGCTCCCTCCGGCCTCTTCGGCTCATAATCTGGCGGCGCCTCTCCCCACTCCCCCCTTTGCATCCCATAACTCGGCCACTCGTTCGTCACATTTACCCTCCCACTTCTCCAATGCTCCTCATAAGCCGGCAACCCCTGATCATAGCTATCCCTCCTTACCGTCATCCCACTCGCTCTCCTCCGTTCCCTTACATGTCGTCTGCGTAAAACTAGCGCCACCATTGCGGCGGACACCAGGAAGGCGACGATGAGAATGGGGTAAATGAAGATGCTTGGAAAGTGGCCTGGCGGTCCTGTATCATCATCTACGCGTGCGCCGGCGCGCGCGGGATCGGTGGCGCCATAGGGAAGGGATTTACAATTGGAAGAGACATCGCTGGAAAGATAGTAGGATGCGCGGGTGGATGAGTTGGTTGCGGGACAGAGGGTTTGGCCGAGGGGACCCCAAAGATCAGAGGCGTGTTGCGCGGAGGTACAGGACGGATCGGTGGTGCAGGCTAGAAAGTCGCCGCGGTCTAGGGTATAGATGGCTGATGCGGTGCAATCTGTGGTTGGGAGAAAGCCGGTTGTTTGGGTGGACTTTTGGGTATCTGGTGAACTTGTTAGTTTGGGTATGGTATGGAACTGATTATACTCTAGGGAA